ATAATACTTTCAAAAATAAAAATAATATTTAAAAAAATTATTTAAAAAAAATTATTTTTTAGAAATATATTGTATATAAATAGAAGAAATTTTATTATAAAACTTTTGTATTAGACATCTATTGGTCTCGAATAGTTTCTGATATAAAAAAAAAGCTAAAAATCGCTTTTAAAGGGTGATTTCATTCCTTAAAACCGTTTTTCCGTACCAATTGATATTTTATAAATTTATTTGTTTATTTATTTATATAACATATATATGTATAAAAAGTTTGATTAAAGTCAGAATCGTACACTTCAAGAGGTTCTCTCTTGTGAGATAATTATAAACTCCAACTTCAGTTATCAGAAATCTTCAGTTATCAGAGATTATGGTAATACGAAGAGAACTGTTATGATGGTTGAAATTTTTATTTCGATTTTATAATTTCTAATTTCGTGTTGCGCCACGCATCGTCTTCGGAAAACTATGCTGGGGCGACGCTCCGTTACGCGTAACTCGGGAGCATGCATAGCGAGGGGCAAAATTCCTATTCGGGACCGTTAGCAAACTTCTCTATTTCTATCATGCTCGCTATTCTGCTCGCTATCGCGGTAATGCGCCACGGACCGCCGGTTAAAAGAGGCCAATCGTAAACGTCAGGATATATCGCCACAATACTGATGCCGGATGGATCGAGTCGAGAGCACGATCGAGATGCAGCATCCCAAATACTCGCGGGACGGAAATTACGGACGTTATCATGGAAGCGCAAATCAAGAATCCACTACCGCGAATCCGCGGGTAATAGATTTCTGCCTTATAGGAAAGCCGGGGTTATTCCAATCTTAATACGTTCGGCGGTCTACTTCGATCCGCCGTCTCTAATTACGATTTGCATCATTTGAAAATACGCCTTCCTAAAAGCGTGCCGCGCAGAAAGTTTCACGATAATGACCGGCGTGCCCACTTTATTTTGCAACATAGTTTTATTACGTATACAGGATGTCGGTATTTTATACCGCTAGTCGAGGGAGGGGGTAATATCAACCAGGTGTTTGCCCTCGATAAATGTTTTCGATTAAAGCAAAACACTTAACGCACATTATTCCGACGATTCGGTTATTGTTCGCTAAGAAGAAAGTACGATAATAATGATCGCGCGATAATAAGTCAAATGGAGGATTATATAACCAAATGGAAACAGAGCACGGTCGATTACAGCACGTGGTAAAATCAGGAATTTGTACACCAATATCATACACTCGTATCGAAGTTTAACTCGACAACGGGCGTTCAAGATACGATCGTTACCCTTAGACGTCCGTGACTGATGCATACGTGTGCACTGTAATAATCGTGTCTGACCGAGCGTACTTCCTTCCCTACGGTACGATATGTATAAATCGGAAGAAGCGCTGTTTCGCCGAAGAAACGTCGTGGAACTAGCCGTGCGTTCGGCATGAAAGAAACGCGCTGTTCTGTGACTCTCGAAGCATCGCCTCTTCTCGCAACGATAAAGAAAAATAGCTTGTCTTGCTTCACTTTTCCCGCCCTAGTGACGAGGGATATCCGACTTCCCATACGCTAGATCTGGGGCGAAATCGGTATGCCTCGGCTGAGTCGTACGTTCACGCACGCGAACGATTCCCAGCGATTTTCATTCGATATCGGGATGAATGGTGCGACCCGTATCACCTCCACAACCCGCAATTACCCGCTGGAGTCATTCTTTCACATGCACACATTGTATGTTCATTTGTACCAGTTTGCCGTGAAGCACCGGCGTGACTTCCCCGGGGCGTTGCAACGCACGCTGAGCACACTGAGTTTATTATTAGAACAAAAAATTATTTGTTATGTGACGATTTGCTTGAAACACCAGGATTGCTACAAAACTGGAAATCAGAGAAATCAAGGAAATTGAAATTGATCAGAGAAATTAGGAAAAAGTCAGGGAATTTTGCGAAATTTTCTGGAAAATTAAAATTCTTGGTTCTAAAGAAGTTTGATATGCATATACATTACATATGTGCAGTTTTGGAATACTACTAATTTTACAATTAAATTCAAGTAGTATCGGCAACTTTAATAGTAATTTGTATTTCTACATTAAATTACTCTCTCAATAAAATATTTAACGGTTTCCCAATTGGACGAAAATATAAAAAATTTCAAAATATTATCGAAAGTCAGAGAAAATCGTGAAAATTTGTCTGGAAATCAGGAAAAGTTATGGAATTTTAGAATGAGAAATTTGTGGCAACATTGAAAATGGATCGATCAGTTACTATTGCGAATCATTTCTTCTTATTCAATGCAACAAACAATACACGGTTTACGATACAAATCACATTTGTTCTAGTATATTTGTAGGTAAAAATATTGCTAATGTAACTTATGACATCAGTGACGACAAATATAACGATTAGCATCAGTTTTCATGACAGAAGAATTATCTTAGACAATAAACCAAAAGTAACAAATCATGTTCATTTTCGGTACTGACATTTGCTGTCATTATATCTACGAATCAAATTTGTTATTGATAATTTGTTAAATTAAATTTTTTTCTTTCCATATGACGTTATATATCAAGTGAATCCCGTCCATCGACAAAGCCAAGGTTCGACCGATTTTCACCGGTGTTAGTGGTTAACTTTAATCGCGGTCTATAGATCCCTCGTCCCTCTTTTCAGATCATAGCGCTGGTCACGATACAGGTAGAGGAAGTGAATTCAATTAATCACGGATAATTAAGCCGTGGTTAATTGAATTTTCTTCCTGTCTCTATTATATCACACTCGCCGGCGAGTGTTACGATCTGACGGAGGAATTAATTAAATCGCACTTGATTAAATTTACTCCTAATTAGACGCATATGTTATTCTTATTCAGAGGGAGATTCCTTTCGTCTTCCTTCCTTTCTCTATTAGTTCGTACACAATTTAACGACGAGAGCGCATCGCGATCGAAAATAAAATATATTTTGACATAAAATGTAATCATTCACGACACTGTTCGCATGATGAAACGTAACGTATTCTTACGAATTGGGATGTGATGGCGATTCTTAATGAAAGGTTCAATAACAGTATTAATGGAACAAATAAAAAAAATAAAAAAAATTTTATCAAAACAAGAGCATGATATGTTTAATTAATAGTGTTATGTGGATTAACGAAATTATTTTCAATTAAAATAATGCTGTTGATGTAACATCATTTTCTTCTCATTGTACATAATAAGGCTTTCTTTTGGCGTAATCATGACGATACGCGCTTAAGTTCGCGTCTCGGAGCCCAGCGGATGGGACAGATAACTCCAGCACGTGAGATATTACATACTCAATTTACGCATTGCCGTCGTTAGCGTTCGCGCGGTTATTACGGATACGTTAGGATACTTAATTATTATTAATGACTCCGCGCACCCCGTTACCTCGTGCGCGCGAGCGCGGCGGATTTACCGTATTCCACGGAACGAAATCGTTCGTTTGTAATCAAGACGCGTTATGTTCGCTTATTTGATCGTAAATGACTCAACGGTTTCATATAACATCGATATGTACCGCCGTTACCTCAATGCGGATAGAGAAAGAGGGAATAAGAGAGAGAAGAAGGTCTGAAGACATGTAAATTAGAAGCGACTACAGAGGTCTGCGTGCGCAAGGAAAACACGGGAAAGAAAAGAAATGATTTCTCCCCTTGGCTATGAAAGATTTGCCTAAGGTGTGACCCAATTGCCTGATTCATCTTGCTTTATCGCGAACGGAGCGTGGCACACACTCGATTAACTTCGATAATTACGATGTGTCCCGTAACGACGTCCAGTCCGTATCCGAATGCCGATTACTTTCTCGTTTTTGCCATTTTGCATACGCGTATCCGTCCACGCTCGTCGTCTACGCGGCGGGCGCATTAGATACGTATTTTCTACGTATGCGGAGGTACGTTACGATGCACACGCTACTTTCTCGGTCGACCTATATGGGATTTTTTTCTCAAACCCCATACGATCCTCTATGTTGGCTGTATAACTCGAATCTGGGTTCCTTTCTATCGCGCATCATCGGATACACGCTTTTCTGCACTCGCTTAAAGTAGAGGGGGCGAACAGGAATGGTAGATTTGGGATTCTTTTCCATCGCGCGATAGAGAAGAAGGAAAAAGAGTTCTGTCGGCACTTCGGAAATTTTGTAGCACGTCTAATCTTTTTCGATAAGCGCGAATGTAAAATAATTTTCTCTTAGCTTCTATCTATATTGCTTTCCGATTTACTTGGAATAATTTGTACGATCTAGGATATACCGATATACGTTTATGAGAACCGTGGAATTTTTCCTATTGGAGTTGCAGACATTATTATTCGATGAACTTGGAGTTTGATTTTTCTCGCATCGGGTAAATTAAAGAAGGAACTGTAATTACGGAATTATTCAACGGCGCGAGCATAAAACGTAATGAAACGTATTACGACTTATCCACATTCCATGAAACAGCGCGAGACGTGAATGAACAGCAACGAGCGAAGAATATTTCTCGTCACTGGTTTTCTCCTCGCTGATCTCTCGGAGAGGACTTCCTCGCTTATCTTCCGGACGATTTCTGATTTTCTAGCGAAATTCACCGGATGACGCGCTGCCTCAATCTTAACGTTAAACCGTGTAGGATGTCGACGTTTCGAAAATCACTTCGCGTTTGCGACCTGCATGACTGCATAAAGCAGCCGTCGCGGAGAATTTTGCAGAATTCGCGGCGGTACGTCGACGCGACCGGCTTAACGTATAAGCCAATTAGGACTTGGATATTCTGTTGAGCTCGCGACCATTCATCATGCAAAGCGATTACAAGCCGGGAATCTGTGCCGTGATAGTTAAGACCGGCGGCAGTTAAGGCAAAATAAACGGAACAATACGAGAAACACGACTAGCGGAGACGATGCAGGTAGAGGACGGGGGAGGGGACGGGACAGTCAACCGGTCGGTCGGTCGGTCGATCGGTTAGAATTAATGCGCTTACCTCGCTGGCGGTGGTGTAATTTGTTGTCAGTTTGATTTGCGGTCTAATCTTTCCGGGCGATTCCCGTGTCTCCTTGGCCGTCAAAGGCGAAGTGGTCGTGACATCGACGACGGCAGCGGTTGCAGAAGCCGCTGATTTTCTCGATGACAACACCGTGGCTGCGGTATGTTGAGTAGGCGAAATTATCCTCGGCGATGTCTCGGTGATGTAGGTGGGACTCGAGCCATCCTGCGGAGTACGGGAGGTCGGGAGACTCGCCGTGGACGACGTTAGCGACGACGACACGGATGTCGTCGTTGTCGCTGTCGTCCCCGTCGCTGTCGCCGCGATCGTCGTTGACGAGGCCGGCAGCTTCAGCGTCGTCGTGGCGGATGTAGCGACTGTCTGCGGCACCGTTGCCGTCGTCCTCGTCGTCGTCACCGCTGTCGCGACTGAGGAAGACGACGACGAATGTAACGTGGCGTTCGCGATCGGTCTCGACGCTGCCGTCGTCGCGGTGATCGCCGAGGTGTTCTTGCCTCCTCCGGACGTGGTCGTTGAGGTTTTTTTTATCTTGGCTGAGTCGCCCTTTGACGACGCCGGGACGGCCGACGCTGTCATCAGCAGCAACGCGAGGCAAACGTAACACTGGATAGCCCGCATCCTTATAGTATCGATATTACGGAAAATTGCCGCTTCCGTTACTGTATTTTCGCGTGCAATTTGTCTTCCTTCGAGGAGTTCTTACCGTATATAAGCGGCGCTTCCTTTAGATCGGTGGTTCGCTTATTAGAACCTGCGAATAAAATGCATATTATGTCAGTAACTATCATGGAACTGCAATTGTATATTTTCTATCCCGTTAAGGCTACTTTAGACGATCCGTAATCCGTCAGATTTCAAGATAGAATTATGTTTATACGTATATAAAGTATATAAGTTAAATATATACGTGCATATAAATGTATATATTTAATGTATATTTTGTACATGTGTGCATTCTAATTAAATATTTTAAATATAGTATACACCGCATAAAATTAGCAGAATTCTGTCCTGAATTCCAATATGAATTATAGACTGTGGGCTTTAAAAACGGAAGAGATATTTTTCGAAAAGTAGCTCAACGCGTGTCGTCTTCACTTTTGCGCTTACTTTCTTGCGTTTGCATTGATTCTTTTTTTTCTATTTTTCCTTTCCTGTTTTCCCTCGAAAAATCGTCGCTTTCGCTTTTCCGCGTCAATATCGCGAATGAGGGAAAGGATTATAGACCTCGTATCTCTGCGGTTTGCCGAGATATTACACGATACGGATGGAGTAATATATTACGAAACGTAACGCATTTTCCCTTTATATAGTTCGAATGTTTGCTTCGGGACGACCTTAACGGGATAGAGAGCTCTCGCTCTCGCAACGGTAATTAGATTTTTCTGAGCGCGGTTGAAGTTCACGCTGAACTCAAGTACACGTTGAACTCGAGTACACGCCATTTCGTCGCGTACGAGGCTCGTAATCCAGCCTGTCTTTTATCACATTACGTATCTTTCCTCTCTATAATTTTCTGTCGTTTACTCCCATTTTATGTCTCCGTATTTGTACATTAGCACAGCTAAGTGAAATACACTCTTTTTTTTTTTTTTTTTTTCGAATGGGATAATGCAAAGTTAATGACACGAGAAATACAAAAAAATATAATTTCTCATTTGTGTGACAAAGAGAGAAAAATAACGTCTATATCGTGCGAAATTATGCAAATAAGAAAAACGGACCGAGGTAATTGCTACGTGTCAAGTTCGACTCGGAGAGATGGAAATTCTCGTCGCGACCAGAGTGCCGCAATCTAGCTGCAGTTCATTACGATAGATTGGCGAAATCGCGTAGAATTTCCGTTGTACGTGAAATGATACGTGCGAGATATTTTCCAATTGTAGCATCCTTCCTCGTTCGTGCGTGCCCCTTTCGACGAGCCCGAGGTCGCTTTCGGTCCTCGCCAAAAATTTTTTTTTAACACAAAGGACCTTTCGCATTTATCGCGACTGTAATCTCGCGATCTTTTCTCCGCGGTCAAGCAGGTCGACCGCGTTTTTCCCATCCGAAACATTTACGTCGACGGATAGGAATTAGGTGGGGCGAGGAGATAGATAGTTGGGAGAGGCGGCGTGTTTATTTGTTCGTCTTCCTGAATGTCCGTGCATCGGTCCATGGCGAGCTGACCGCTTATCTGCCTGCCTACCTACGTATTTTCCTTTCACGTGCTCGATCTTGTCCGCGCGTCGGTGCTTGTGCCGCAACAGTTATCGCACGTATGCCATACGACACTGGTGAAATTGGGTCATTCGGTACAAACCGACCATACGAGCCGTTATCTCGTTGCATTAGCAAGGCCGTATCAAACTGCGCCCGCTCGATCGCGCGCGCGGGTGCGAGCGGACACCGCACGCTTCAAGCATCAGATGTTAGACATTACGCTTCATTAGAATATGTATCTCACGTTGCTGAATATGTACCTGCGACGGATGCGCGCGTCTCAGTATAACGGAAGCGAGAACGCGACACGGACTGTGTAAAAAGAAGAGGAGAATGTCTGTCGTTTCGAGTGAATACACACGCGCGAGATAGCGCGATAAAGAATGTTGATTAAATACGATCGTTTCGAAACTGTAACGCGTCGATTGCCGCTGAATCTCACGGGTATTTCCTCTGCACTGAGAAAAATCCCCCTGGCTGGATTCATTGGAATTCTGATTGTGAAAATGGACGAATCTAAATTTTCTGGTTACATCTAATAACTAGAAGTTAAGATAATCGGATTAATATAATCAAAATCTTTTGGTTTCGTTCATTCTTAACCAGACATTTTTCTCAGTGTGTGAAATGTGACTCACATTCGAGATCATTCGTTTCATTCGTTAGAAGAAGATCCGATTGTTTTCTAGCGGATTAAATTTACGCACAATGGAAACTGTCCGCTATTCGGAAATTTTTCATATCTCTGCCATTCTTTCGTCATGGTAAACCGCACAATTGTGGGCGGGAGAATGAGTTTCCACGCTTCAACCGCAAAGTATTTAAACATTCGCGACATTGGCTATTTATACGAACAATGTAACAAACAAATTATTCTTGTAATGAGAGATACGGAGAGAAAAAAAGGTTTATACCCGTTTCTACCGATGTAGTTTAATTTTAATCCCGGTTCAACTAACTCTTCGTCGTTTTCTAGTTCTAAGAATTAGAAAAAGACGAAGAGTTAGTTGAACCGAGGTTAAAGTTAATCCACATTGGTAGAAACGGGCATTATAGAGTTATAGCAAAACGGTACACGCAGTTTTACAGAGCGAGTTAAAAAGGACGAACGCTTTTACGATATGAATCGCAATTTAAAAAAGAAACATTATGGTACGCACAGAAGATCAAACCGTATAATTAACACACGGTATCTTTTTGTGTATCCCCCCTCTTTCTCTCTCTCTTTCTCTTAAATTGATATAATTGCTGCATTTTTCTTTTTTTCATTCGCATCCGTTCCTCACTGTGTCTTCTTTTCGTCTTTATATAGTTTTTTCATATTTTTTTTGGTATTAATTTGATTTGTTTTTGTTGTACTATTTTCGTTAATTGCATATTTCTGTCGTTATATTTGTCTTCTGTTTTAACGTTCTTAGAGGTTCTTTGCCCTAAACAGCAACAATAAACGCCTTTATCTATCTATCTATCTATCTTATCTATCTCAAACACGTTTCTCTCTGTCTCGTTAGCAATTCGTTGCACGTTAGAGTTATAGGCGAGCGGTGAATAATTTCACCATTAATGAGCAACTCGCGAGAGCAACGAGCATTAATTTACTTGCGCAAATAAAACGAACATTCACGGATCGATACGCATGCGTTTGTTTCGGCAATTTGTCGGACTAACGAGACTGAAAGGAAAGCGCGCGGCGGTCGACTGTACACAAAAGCGTCGTGCAATTAGCAATGGATATGAGCACCGACGGAGAAAAAGACAGATAGGGAATGATGGATCTCGTAAAATCGTTGGCGTTTCACGTCTCGCGTCCGCGCGACACATAAAGGATCTCGCGCGATTCAAAAGCCCAAGCAGAAGACAAAGAGAAACGGCGAGCGATTCGCGCGGCGACTCGCGTCAACGCCACTGACGACGTAACCGCCTAACGGATCTTTTGGCTTAACGCGTTGCGTAGCCCTTTTCCTCATTGTAATCCCCCGCGGTTCGTCGCGTCATTCGCCACCAGTAGCTAGTCGGAGGCTGCCGTAATGCGCGCGAGACATCGAAGAAACGCGCGTCATATGCGTCCTTTCTTGCCTTTAAAATAATATTTGAAAATTGCACGCAGGAACTACTTACGATTGATTTATTTCAAGAGGGAATCGATATAATAAGGTTCCACCAATGTAAAATTAATCTCGGTTGGACTTATTGTTTATCTTTTTCTAAGAATTATGCTCGTTTCTACCAATGTAGATTAACTTTAATCCTTAATTTTTATTTATAATTCTTAGGACCTTGGCATACAAAAAGCTTAAGACAGTAAGACGTAAGCAGTAAGGAAATCATGTTGGATTCGCTACTGCTTATGTTATGGCCTTATGGACTCTACTGTAATCGGTCAATTCGCTTACTGCTTACGTTTTACTGTTCAAGTTTTTTTTGTGTGCCTTAGAATTAGAAAAAGATAAAGAGTTAATTGAACCGAGATTAAAATAAAATACATTGGTAGAAACGGACGTAAGAATTAGAAAAAGATAAAGAGTAAATTAAACCAAAATTAAAGTTGATTTTATATTGATGGAACCGGACCTAAAACGCTGAAAACGAAGGCAAATTCTTTTCCCAAATGGAAAATCGGTTGGTTCGATCCGTCAAAGGTACATGGATAATAATACCTATATTATCGTCTTCTTTCTTTCTTCCCTTTTCCAAGAAGGAACGAGCGATATTCGTAATAAGAAAGAGGATGAGAGCTTATAAAAAGGAAGGAGAAGGCATGATTATCTAGAATAAGACATTTAATAATGAATACACCCACCGGCTCGATTCGCATCGGTAGCGCCCGGTAGTTGGACACGTAGATTGTAACGGAAGTACGAAGAGCAAAGTCGGCGGTCGTGATCGGAATGTTGTTCCTTCGGTATCTACCTTCGCTTCGGCGGCGGAATCATCGATGTCGAACGAACATTGTCCGCAAAAAAAAAAGAAACATAAATAATGAGGAACGCGCGTCAGCGATGCACTTTCCCGTTTTTCTCAATCCAGTTAATTTGTACACCTGACGACGTTGCGAATTTGTAGACACGAAATATCATTTATATAGAAATTGAATCAATCGTAAATCGAATCAGCTACCGCTTTGTGGCTACAAGACAAGATAAAAAAGATAGCAATCGCTTCATCATCAACAATTACGGCAAAGCAAACGTACTTACTTCACAGTTCCGTTATCTGTAGTATAATAGTTGTACGAATAATGGCTAGTAGATAACAAAACTATTTGTCACATATATATTTTTTTATCTATTATATTTGATGTGATTACGTATTATATACCTATATTAATAAATTATAATTTTGTTATCTATTATTAAAGAAACAATTTCTAATTTAAATTCTTTGGTTTATTACTATTATATATATTCTACTATTATATTTCCATTATGTTCTTTGGTTTATTCATAATAGAAATTAGAGAAAAATTAAAGAAAATTATCAAAAATAAAAACATACAAACTATCACATGTATTAAATAAAAAAAATAATATGTACTAAGTAAAAAAATCATAGCTGAAGGAGTCGATCTTCCTACGATACAAATTCGGAAATACACTACTATCCCGCATCTTTATCGATATTCTAAGTAAAACTATGAAGATTTCATACCTTCGTGTAGCGCGTAGGTAGACTGACCCTCGACCTAGACTTTCGTCCTCGCGCCACCTTGAACTCGACCTCGACCGCGATCTCTGATAGGAAAGAAGGAAGGCGTACTTCTCGCGATCCCTGCACGCCACTGACAAGCCGGTAGACCAGTCGGCTCTCCGATCCAATCGTTCTCCGATTTCTCGTTGATCCCTGATTGCTTCAACCGATTTTCTCCGAAAAGGAAACCTCTACGGTTCGCGCGCTACCGATCGAATATACACGGGGATCGTTTGACAATCGGCGGTGGCGATGATTTGATAGCTACGATCACGCGACTCAGACTGGCACCCAAGATCGCGACGACAAAATTCCGTCTCGCACGTCTATAGCGCACCCTCTTCCGCGTTCCGCAACTCTTCCGAGGCCGTGAACCGTACCGTTCGCGAATCGTTATCGCTGTTATCGTTGCTGCTATTGTCGATGCTGTTGCTGCTCGAAGAGACCGGTGTGGATGGAAGATAACCCGCGATGAGATTGTTTCGGGGTTTGCGCCCGACTGCGGCCTCGCGTAGGACGCTACGTGCCTATGAGTCCCCGCTAGTCCCACTTACCAACCAACCAGAAACTGCTCGGGTATACTCGGAATCCTAAGCTGCATCTCCGCCAATCCACCTTCCACTCTTCTTCCCTCCGTCGCCCCTCGTCGTGTTCGCCTTGGTTCCGCGCTTGTCCGGGATTTACTTGTGCTTTTCGTCTTTCGGCCCCGCCAGAAAGCTGTCGATGAAAGACACGGGCGAGTTTTGCGGGCTGGAACCGGTCGTTTCTGGACCGCCAAGTGCCTCTTAATCAACCGTGAAGAAGATTTTGCAGACTATTAATTGATATTAGTGACAAGTTATGAGGAGAGAAGTCCGCCTATCTTTGCCTTTTCTCTCTATTTCTTTCGTTCTTTTGCATAATTGGAAATCACGAGAGATATTTATAAGATAGGAACTGCTGTTTGAAGTAGCCAGTTGTAGTAAGTAAGTAACCGCTGTTCGCCGCTTTGATCTTAAGAATATTACTTTGAGATCTAATAGACCTCGACTGAACTCCCACGTATCTTCACCTTTCGAATAGAGAGAAATTTCCATGCGCTGCCTAAAGCTATAAACTTTCTGCTCGTTTTCTGCTCATTTCTGTATAAGACTTATAGTCTGTTAAATTGATTTATATATATTTGTAGATGAAAACTAACAATTATGTCGGTAATGAAATTGCAGAAAATAATACATAGACAAAGATTTATCTTCTTCTTCTTCTTTTTCTTCTTCTTTTCGTATTTTTCTTATTTAGTAAATCTTCCAAGAAAACTTGCAGAAGCAAGTGTTACGATGGATTTATTTGACTTAATTAGCAGATAAACATAAATCGCGAATTATTTTAGAAAGTTCAAATCTATAGAGAGGTGCAATCTGTAGATGCGTCAAACTGTGTTTCCTCTTTATAAATCCAATACATCGATAATCATTTTTGCAAATCGTATGAGAGAGAGCATACCTCTCCATTATTATTCTGTGGCCGTCATCTATAGGCTCTCACTTTATCACGATTTTTCCATCGTGGACACGGTTTTTCCATCGTGGGCACGATGTCGAGTAACACGTTTGGGGCACAGCGCGGCCTTTCTCCAAAGATCGAACGCGTATTCTTCCTGACCGCGCGATTCATCTCGGTGAAAGTCTGCGGCTATCTGTTAGGCATAAGATTTGACGTGAACGCTAATCATTGTCTACGGTGCGCAACAACCGCTCGGCCATAGTTCGCGTGTTTTTCTTCGCCGCGGAGTGCAGCGTGGAGAACGTCGGAGATTCAGCGTCGATATCGACGACTTCATCGGGAACGCAGCCTCCAGCTGACCATTAAGAATCGGAAAAACTGACCCGCTCTTTATGCCAGTGGGTTTTTGCGCTCGAAACGAGGCGAATGCGGTTCGCGTCTTCGAAAAGAAAGGAACAAATAACGCGTAGTAAAAAAGTATCGGAGAAGTGTGTCGGAAAAGATGCACGGTTCTGCGAGAAATGTAGAATCACTGCTTGTTCTTTCCGGGCATGGCCCGAGAATCTGCACGATGATTTTTGCGAAGAAGTTCGTGACTAACAGAAATATCCAGCGTCCATAAGAGAGCGTTATAAAAACATGCGATGCTCGAATAAATTTTCACCGAAGAAGAACCCTTCATATTCATGAGAGAATTCGCTTTCTAAGCTCTCCATGCATTGAATGTGCAGCTTTTACAGCAATTATTGTTGCGAACGATAATGAATAATTGAACAGCTATCGAATAATTTGTAGAAATATGTATGGAAATTTGATTAATTGTTCGGTAAAAATAACTTTTACTCTTTATAAACAAATTTCCTAAGCATTTACTAATTTAATTAATATTTATTTTAATCTATTTTAATTTGTTCTTAATAGTTTATGTCGGTGATAAATGCTGCTATAATTAATATCCGCAGTTTATTCGCTGATCGTTTTTTATCTGCATTCACTTTTGATTGATATATTATTTATTTATTTAAACAAACAGCCTTTTGAAAAACAATGAAAAACTTCATTCTTAAACGTATCACGGGAACGACACATTAGCATATATCTAACTTAATTCAATTGCTTATAACTTTCATAAAAATATTGTAAAAATTTTTTTTCATCGAAACGCGACATTAAGGCTTGGTTTTTCATTTTTTTATTTGCTTGTGGTTAGATTTAATATAATGCTATTGTAAAAATTATGCTTTTTAGCTATGATTAAACATTAAACTGATGGTTTTGTAGTCTAACTTTAAAAGTTACCGAGATTAAATCCAAACTACAAGTTAATTAGAAAATAAAAAATTGGACCTACCATAAAAAACATAACGTTACCGTATTCTTATGGATAAGAAAAGTTACAAGCAATAGAAAAACCATTGGGAAAAAGTCGAGTATATACACTGAAAAAAAAGATTGGCTGCTGCAGTAAATTAGATGGTAAAATATGGCATAGCATTTTTAATTGGTTGCAGCAGTCAATTTTTGGTTGTGTTAGTCTATCGAAATCCTATACTGACATTGCAGATAGGCTAACGCAACCAAAAATTGGCTGCTGCAACCAATTAAAAATGCTACGCCATATTTAACCATCTAATTTGCTGCAGCAGCCAATCTTTTTTTTCAGTGTACCATAACGAAGAGGCGAGGTTTAGAGATTAATTTGATTTAAATCAATTTTTTGATCGACCGTTCAAATACACCTTCGGCGCGATTGCGCGCCGCTCAAGAGAACTCTGGCTAAGACAGCGCGGCGGTAACGGTGCCGTGCAGATGGTAACATGCAAGAGTGGAGCATCCGCGAGTCGCGGGTGATGGACCGTAACGTTCTCACAGATAACTCACGGCTTCCGACTCGCGTTCTGTCTGTGTCGAGTTATCCAAAGAATAAATCGGCAGGAGAGCAGCAGTTCCTTTGTGGCCCCCTCGCGAGGAGGAGTCACGTGTACAGTGAGATTCGATTTTGAATTTGATGCACGTCTTTCTAACGTAAAATATCAGAAAGTCACTTTTCCCGAAGAGGGAAAAGATGGTACGAATAGAAAATAATATTGAAAGCCGGTAATACGTACGTTCATAACGACGTCGCGAATTTTGTTGCGTTTCAAGAAAAATTTCTTGTTCTATTCGCAGAGCACTATACGTCTTCGATGAGAAAGAAAGATCAAAATGGTATTTAAGATTCCGATATTTTAGTTTTATTTTCGTTTGTGATATATGGCGGCAAAGAATTTTACATTTTAAATTACAAAATTAAGACAATTGCGTGCCGTTTGTCGTATTTTTACGTAATGATCAAGTTGATTAAAATAGTAAATTAGTGAATTTTGATAGACAAAATTATGTAAGTATTGGTGTTTTAAATTAAATTATTATCGTTAATTAGAAATATCTCGCTAAAATCTACGTATTGTTTAACTTGTTGTTGATATTGCTATAGTGATATCTTCTTTATCGACTTGCGATAGATCGGTAGTTGTTTTGCGTCCTTGACTCTTACCTGCATCCTCAATAATCTCGATAAATCGCTTCTTTATCACATTCTCGTATCGCAAAAATGCGTATATTTCTTTAACTGATTTTGAATTGATAATCACATCTCTGCATCAAAATTAGAAATTTGTCTTTCCAAAGAAAATTAGACTACAAAGGATAAAAAATAACATTGCTACACACACGCACGCATATATTATACATATACATATATATTTATATATACTTTTTATTAAGTTAAAGTAAAAGTAACAAATAACATCGAGAGAGTCTCTTTCTAATAGTCTTGCGATGCTACCATATACAATATACTCCCCGAATGAGACACTTTCGGAAGACCAGAGATGAATATATACAAATTTAAAACGACTGTGATGATATAGCTGCAACGTCTGCAATATTCTACGAAGCGGCATAAAAAAAAAACAGTAGCACTAAGAGAGAAAAGACTCACCGTTGCTTACGACCGAGGGACACGATAACTGAGGCCCGTGTTACATTGCGGGAATACGAGGCGATCGTTTCGAAACGTACTGTACAAAACTGTAGGCGGGCACGATTCTCTTATCTCTATATATTCTTCTGTACATTACTTTTTACACTTAACATTCGCCAACGCCGCTGGGGATTGTACATGGCACGGCATCACATGGCTGGTACAGCCGACCGATCGACACGTATGTTAATTTCCCGTTGTTCGCGATTCCTACGCGACACTTCCTGTCTACGGAGCGGATCAAGAGCGTCAACGCTTCGTTCAAGACGAAAAGAATAAAGAAAGAAAAAGAGGAAAAGAATTACTAAAGGAAGAACACGTTCGGATGAGCTCTCCTCGAAAGATCATCCGAACGCGCTCGTCGCCACGATCGGGAATTGGTGGAAGCCGCCTCTGCGATTTTACGGCAACGTTTCGACAATCGGCAGGTACCGAATGGCCAATTGTTGCGCGCTTGAAAAGATGGACCTGACCCATCGTGGTTCGGGAACCAATCGTCTTTCTTTTTATGGGGACGTATGATAAAGGTATGAGTAATCCATTGAAACTTGGATTTTCGTTTGGCAGACGTCCCGGATCCGTCGCTGCAGCGAGAGGTCGTTTCTAATGCATAGTGGCCTCTCTCAAATGCCATAGGTCATTTTTTCGTAGCCATGATACGGCACGCAGTAGCCGCTGTAAGTCTTGATCTCCAGGACACCGGCGTAGGATCGCGCCGGCGTGGAACCGGGATCCGTGTGCTTCCGCGGGCACCGGTGTCCCCGGGGACACTGACAGAGAGGCGAGGCGTTCACCTCCTCGAGTTGCGAGTTGCGTCTTTTGCGAACGGTGAACAGGCGACAGGGCTCCTTATGCTGGCATCGTATTTTCTGCAAGGTGAACAGTAAATTAATCGCGCGTTAAGATTTTTTTGTCAGCATTGCGCTACGAAAGGAGGAAACCTTAGTCTCGAAACACACGTAATAAGCCTTAAGTCTTAAGAAATTGAGCAATCATAGTCGAGTAACTTTTCTCACATTCGACTATAATTAATTCTTTAAGGCTTAAGGATCATCAGTCAGGACATTTACTTTAAGGATTACTATATCTATTGTGTTTCAGGACTTAGACTGCGTTTGGTCTAAGCGTTTTTAACGCTTCTATCCTTCACGGAGAAAAATGAATTAATCTTACAAATCTAATAAAAATATTCTTGCTGTTTTACCGAACTTATGACAATATTTTATTTGCCTGAAAATAAAATACCGGAGATAAAAAGTATATTACAATTAGTCAATTCATTCAAATGATTACTTACAGTAAAGTAAATGATGCTATTCTTAAAACTGTAAGTACGACAACTCTCAAGATTTCATACACTTGTATTTTTTTAACTGCACAGTAAATTTCGTCAACGCTTAAGCAAAAAATACTCGTTGATAAAGTTCTATTGAGATGTATAGTAATTTATAGAGTAAGAAATAGTAACAAATTGCAATAGCATGAAATTTACTTTACAAAATATAAAAAGTACTTTATAGTATGGCTATACGACAATCGTTTATTTATCAAAAAAGTAAAGTAAATTTTACGTAAGTGGGCCCCTTACGACCTATCAATTCCATAGAGTTTACTAGAATCATAGCACATATTACTTTACATTTTTCTCCGTGCAGCCCAAGTAATGCGCGATATAATATAGGGATAGATACACCGATTTTAGTGAAGCTCTTTGAAAATTGCATTTCGAGATAGAGTCCCGTGTTTTTCTTTATTTCTGTATCGTTGACTTACGCTTTGCGGAGAACAGGCGAAGGCATAGACGAAGCCATGATTTCCATCCGGCGATTTGTGAGGTTGTCTACGCACTAAATATGGCACGCTATTTGGCCGACATCGACAGTAGACACGTTGCACTGTCGCGTTCCCTGGGCCACCTCCAGGTGCCAATGTCCACGTAATGTCTCTGTGGTAAAAAAGTTAGGACATCTGAATGCGAACTTACAATTTCGTATCATCTATTCTACAAGCGAATAACTCGGATTCAACAGCGATTTTCTATTTGCACGGTTTAAAACGTTTTGAGAAGGAACATTTGTTCAGTGAAAAATTCACAGAAAAATTATACTCTCTAAAACTTTTACAGTGAATTGCACTTTAAGAAGTGAAATCTCATTCAAAAGGCAGTATTCATAGGCCGTTCTTATTTTAACTATTTTAAGCCCGTCTTAAGTAATATCTTTTAATATGGTCTGATTGATTCACACGACATCTTAAGATTACACTTAAGATGGTTTTAATTACAAGAACCGACTATGTGTGAATACCGCTTTTAAAGATTGGAAATTTCTTTTTCAAGACTGGCTCAATTTTCAATCTTTAGCGTGAGATTCCACTTCGAAGAATTTAGAGATTAGAATAATTTCATCCGACTGTTATACAGTAATAAGGTTTAACGTGAACGAAGCTAATTGTAAGATCCAAGAACGCACGACGTGGAATCCGAGCGGGAATCGCGGAGAATGCGTGTCGTGATCTAACTAACTTGAAATAATGACAGATGGGAAGTCGTTTCACGGGCTCGCAGAGCTTGTAGCGGCGCGTTTTATCGACGATCGTGTGTCCGTCGTCCCTATGAAGACTGCTGGGGCAGGCACGGCCGTTCGGGCAACGACATTGTCTCTCGACCCACGGTGCACCATATAAATCCACCTTGCTACATACCTCGCTCCGGTCCGCACACTCCGGTAACTCCTTCTCGCTGTTCTGCGCAAACAAGCACCCGCGTCATTAATAAAGCGATTAACGCTCGTTCGCCTTTCTCAGAAATTCAATTGTCTCTCCGATCGGAATGGCGATTTTATCACTTTGTTTATTTCGTGTCGGTGGTGAAAAAACACGAGCGCAAATACACCGAATCAAATTGCATTGAATCGAGCAGCTGACCGATATTGCACAGAAAATCTCGACGTTATTAATAAATAAACATCTGGAGACCTGTTTATTTCTCGGGTATGGTAACGGAATTATTAGTAGGACGATTATGATCGCGGCGATTGTACCGTTGCGTAATAATAAACGTCTGAACGTGTCGTGTTGCGTTATGGGACCATGGTGCTTAATGAAATAAACGGGACGATTGCGCACAAGATTCGTAACTGAAGTATATCCGCTCTTTCTGCCGGCGATACAAAGTCTGTTATAACTGGACTATTTAGATGTTGCCAGTCCATTCATTGAGGCAATCGCGTACGTCCTGTCCGGCCTATCGTCATCGGCGATGCCAACTACCGTAAGGCGACCATAATCTCGAAATATCTGCTGACAGTATCGTTTAGATTTTTGCACTAAATTTTCAATTACTTCACAATCTTGCTCTTCTTAAATCTCATATTCTGTCTTTTTTAACAATTTTTATAACTAACGAAACTTGGCTCGTCACGGGTGACGAAATTTGTAATATCAAATTTCATCGTTTGCTGAAGCAGAAATTAATCTGCTTCCCTTCTCTCCGATCTTGTGTTACGTTACGGATTTACGAGTACAAAAACGATTTAAAAAACGATCTTCGAGCGATCACGCCCGTGATTTCTGTTAACGCGATACGCGTTTATCGAGGTGCACCTCGATAGTGCGTGAGTCGAAGTACTTGAAGCAAACGTAGCCATTCAGCGAAGAAACGTTCGAGGAAATGGTCTTCCGCCGTTTTACCGCCGACTGTGAGCATTCGACTTTTTACTATGACCATCCGTTCATCTCGTTTGTCTTTTTGTCGCTCCCCCAGATGTAGTTTCTACTATTACTACTACTACCATTACTATTATACTACTTACTACGATCATTCGTCACGGCACAATGGATCGAACGAATAGCTTTTTATAAGGAAAATCCTCTTTTTCATCCCGTTCCTTCAGACATCCGTTCGCGTTTATATGTCTAAAAATCTTGCCTACCAGCTTCCGAATAATCTTTTATTTGCTTATGATATTGCTTGGAGTTTCCGCAACATAGTCAACAAATTGAAGAAATGACTTCAAAATTTACAGAAAAATTCTTTATCTAACAAATTATAAAAAGGCAGTATTTTTTAAGATAATTTTTAAAAACAAATTTTTGAGACAAAAAACTGATTTTCTGTATAGAGTAAAGTGATACAAATCTGAACGATTTCGAATGTGGTACAAATCTGAACGAAATGAGATTTGAATCGAATTTTTAAATTTGATTTTCTCTCGTTCAGTATCCTTCAATATTCTCCACATAGTAAGAAAGTTATCGTACTAGAATTGTATCACATTATCCTACATAATTGATGTTTTTCATAAATTTGTATATTATTATATACACATAATAAATTTACGATTTAATATCACATTCATCCAATTAAACAAAAAATCTATTTGGCCATATGCGCAGGTGGTATATAAATAATTAACAATTACTAAAGAGCGACATCCGTCAAGGATGTTTATAAGCTGCGCTCATCCATTTCACGGCATTATATTCCGATTTCAATCGTTTCCGATTGTTAATCGTGTTTGTCCGCATTATCCTTCCCGCGCGGCCTTCCCTACGCATCTCTTTATCCCACTTCCGTCGGCTCTCTACGAGCGAAAGAAAAGGTGAAGCGGAACGAAAGGCGAAGGAAGTTTTTGAAGCTGATATAGTGACAGCGAGCAGCGGGATTCACGCACGTACACACGCGTACACACACGGAGAACGGCGGTAAACTAAAATGGGATAATAGAAGGACCGGAAGGGCGCCGTAAACCATCCGGAAGTTCTCACGCGTCTCTCGCTTCTCGCACGGCCGCAATGAAAATGACACCTGGCACTCGGGATGGACATACTACACGATGGCAAAGAAGGTGGAGAAGGAGGAGAAGGAGGAGCCGCTAGGCATCAGCGACGACGACGAGGAGAAGGGCCACGCGAGACGAGGAACGAGATGTGGAACAAAAAAAAAGGAGAAAGAGAGAGAAAAGAAGAAAAGAGAGGCAAGAGACGCACGACGACGCAGGGAATCTGGTCGGATGGATGGATGGATGGCGTTAGTAAAAAGAAAGATCGCTCGCTCATCGTTCCATATAGCCGTACCGGATGTCTCTAAGCCTGGAAATCTTGCCGTGCGATCGAAAGCATAATGGCACTGACTGCTCCGTATATCTCGGCAGGCTAATTAATCGCTACTCGATGCGTATCTACTAATTGTCCGAAGAGATAATCGTAATAGGCACACGTGTAGATCATGAATGGAGCGATCTACCACGGAAAAGGATTACCCTCTTTGATTAAACTATTTATTTAAATCAGTAATATGAAATTAACAAATCCCACTTGTATTAAATTTTTCTATGAAAACGTTTTCGAAAAATGAAATATTCAAAGAAATATTATGAGGAAATGCGGATTATTCTTGACATAATTCTTCTTAAGAAAAACCCTATTCTTCAATTGTATTGAAAATGGCATTTTCTCGGCTCACCGGATATGTCTTCAATTGTATTTTTCTGCTCTTTTCACCTCTATGTTTATTGTTAGAAGGGCACAGGTAGTAGCCACATGATTGTTATACCAATCTACCTGTTAACAACTGAAAGAGAGACGGGGAAGAGAGAGAGAGAGGGAGAGAGAGAGAGAGAGAGAATGAGTATACAATAAAGAGGGAAGATTTGTTTTTCAAGAGCGATTTTGTGATGTGATTCTCGTCCGATATGCAAGGAGCAGTTTTCTCTCCTCGACGACATCGTCGTCATCCCCACCGTGTTGTTCTTGCGCACGTACTCTCGGCCCACGTGCGAACGTACGTATCTACGATACGTTGTACTTGGGTGTCGCGTCTGTCCGCACGTGTATACCTACGCACTGTACCCCACAGGGGACACGTATGCACTCACGCACAGACGCGACGCACACGCGCGTATATACCGTCGTCACGTAGGTGTTTACAGCAACGACAGCAGCAACAGGTTCGAGCATCGAGTGGGCGCCGCTCTTTGCTAACGGCTACGTTTCCCTCTCCTTCTACTTCCTGCGCCTGTAAGCGGACGATTTAGCTTCAAATCCTCGGAATGCTACCCGAGAGTGTATACGGATACTCGCGTATACGTATATCGTCGGAGAGATATGCATACCGACACCGAGGCTTCGTAACGCACGATCTAATACTTGCTGAAAATCGAAACGTAACATCTGTCGAGAAAAATCCTGGAAAAAAAAAAGAATTTGGCGGTCTAAGATCACGAAGGATCCGGCAAACGGATCGGTCACGAGAGAAATAACACGAGATCTCTCCCACCATTCATATTCTCGGCGATTCAATTGCGTGGCTCGATGAGATGGACTCGTCGGGATTAGGTCGCTAAACATTTAGCCGCTTTCTGGAGCAATTTAAGCGCTAATTCGTTCGGGGAACTTAATAGAGTGAGTAACGTAATCTTAAAGGTGGAAAGTCGATGTGAGAAAAAGTTTTGAGAAATATGCTCCATTGAAAATAAAAGAATAGAAAAGTAAAAGGATGCGACATTGACGCTGCAAGTCATATAAAGTATTGCCTTTCATTTACTGAACGTGCTTAAATGCACGACATTAATACCTATTTCTACTAATGTATTGTAGTTTAATTTTAATCTCGGTCCAGAATGTTCAGGTAACTCTTCATTTTTTTCTAGTTCTAAAAATTTGAATAAGATTAATTGGTAGAAACAGGCATAACGCGTATCAGTCAGCTAGTCATTCAACATATTTATACCTACGTAATAATTACGTAACACATATATATATAATGAATTAGAAAATAGGAAACTGTACATACAGTTGTAACATACATGAGTTACATAATTTAGGGATTGAAAATGACAATAAATTGACAAAGTTGACGTGGGGGAGTGGCTTACCCCGACTTGGTATAGCACCCTGGGTTCCTCGTGCGACAGAATGTGCTTCCGGTTACGATTGATCAGATCTATCTCGACCGTCGTGTCGTCGAATTCCTGCAGGTCAGCGTGATACTTGCTTTCGTCGATGAACAAATACTCCTTGAGGTATTCGTCGTGCTCGACTCTCAACGGCAGATCGAAAACCTCGCATTTGCTCCGGCGAACGACTCCGACGATCATCAACAGGGTGTACAACAGGTGCCGTATTGTTTTACCGGTCATCGTGTCGCAGTGTCGGAGAAGCACAGCGAAGTTCTTCCCGATAAAGAATCCCGGTCGAGAGAATCGGCGATCGCCTGTTTGTGTGTGTGTCTCTCTCTTTCTCTTCGGAGGGAACGTTTGCTGCGTTAGGTGTTTTACTCCCAGGTGGGGGGATGCAATAAAAAGAATGGTAGGGGGGTTTCGATACGTTCACCTTCTTATTTGCGCGACAAGGCGTTCAGAACGAGCGGGAGGAGGAATACTCGGGGAATACTCATAGCAGAAACACAACACGGATCGAGAGAACTCGAAGGCTCGCCGGTCGTCCGCTACTGCTACTTGAAGTCCATCTTCGTGAATCTCACCAACGCGAGTCTTCTCATTGATCGATCATCGGAGAGGAGAGGAAAGAGGAATTTTTTCCGATCGCTTCGCGAGGAATCTCGATCGTTCGTCCCGAGTATCCACGTACTTTTTCCCGAATTCGCAGATTCTACGGGCCCGCTGAAAAACCGCACAATTCGAACCTTGTACGGAAGTCTCGTTTAGATCTTACAATTTTTTTTCCTATCAGTTACGAAAACAGGATGTCACGTGTCTTTGTTTACCGCGATCTCCTCTTATCTTCCTCTTCTCGCGATTCCAGAGACGCGAAAGAACGTTTCCCCGATCCTGGATCGACCGATCTTGGTGAAAGAGAGGGGAGCCTCCAGAGTTTGATAGAGCGTTTGATCGCACTCGCGCACTCTCACCGAGTCGCCGATCGTTCCTCGAAATCTCTTATCCGTCTGTCGCTGATCCGTTCGTTCGATCGTCCATGCGGTACTCCTTTTTCGCGGGTCCTACGAGATCTGCGGATCCTCTCGAGAAACGGAGCGCGATCGCTAAGAACTGAGAATAAACGGAACGTCCCGACGAGATCGGCCTATGCGAAGGTATGCCGTCCGCTCGACTGGACTCTTAAAAGCCAGAAGTAAAGCATGAATGGATGCCCCCACCCCTTTTCCTTCGCCCTTCCCGTCCCTCCCTCCCGCGCCTCCCCCTGGCATTTCCCCCCTCCTCATTCTCTTCTCATTCTTGACTGCTCCTGCCTCCCTCCCCCCTCCTTCCACTCTGTCCCTTGGCTCTTACGTCATCCCCACTACTACTCTCTATCCGGGGGCCCCTCTCTATCTCTCCTCACCGAACGTTTTCATCGTCGCCGTTTTTTCTCGGGACTCGTCGCTGTTTGCCGTTTGTCCTTGTATCGCATCCTCTCTTCCACGGGCGCTCCGTACGAAGCGCGCGTTCCTCTCCGCTCTCCCCTGGAGCGTATTAACGAGTGTTTTACTCTTTCTCCGGAGGCCGGCCCGTTTGCTTTCGCGCGCGCGCTCTGTTTTGCCATTATCCGCTATGTTTTCTGCACATTCTGTGCTCCACGATCCTTTTCTCTCTTCCCTCGCGCTTTTACCAGCGAGCCAGTTTTTCGCCAACGATTTCCCTTCCCTGTGTTTTCCGATCGTACCTAAATACATTTACCTCGTTTCTCGCGCAATTCCGAATCTCGTTTGACATCTCATATCTTTCTTCTTTCTCCTTTTTCTTCAACCTCTTTTTCTCTCTTGTTTTTCCTTCCTCTAGATATCTAGATTTACTAGAAATACTAGAAATACATTTTATCTTTTTTATCAGATAGTATATTTTATCTTTTCAAATTAATCAGGACATTTCTTTGATTATTCTTTGTCTTTATTAAAGATAGTTGTATTTTTTAGCTGATTTCTCGAAATTTATCCTTGCGAGTGATTCATATCTCGTATCTTTTTTGATACGATATTTTTTTATATAATACGATAAGATATTAATTATCTAGAACAATGCCTTTACGCAAGCTTCTTCAAAAATTAATTACTTGAAAGAGTCTGATTCTCGTATTCAAGTATTCGCGATTGTTTTTGTATAAAGATGAAATCGTATGAAAACATTTTGTAGAGTGCTGGAATGAGCTCGAAGATATTTATTATTATTATTAAAAGTACAAGGATACCGTAAGAGGAATGTCGCGAAGAAATGCTAGAGCAATGCAGACAACCGTCTCTGCATCGCGATATTGCCGTTCATGCTGAGACATCAACAATTGATGATGACTGTTCTTGTTGCAGGGAGATTGTATGCTGTGTTCGGTAAAAGACAAGGCCGTATCGTATCTACGGAGAGTGCTTACGGCTTCGGTGGACAATTCAGAGTATTGGCCACTCTACCGGTTCTAGAGAGCTTCCATCTCGCAAGAGAACTACGGACGCAAACGTCCGGATTGGCTAGTCCGCAACTAGTTTTTAGTCATTGGGAGGTAAGCGCGTTTTCTTATGAATTAAAATGTTCATAAACTTTGAGACATTCCTAGAAATTGTAAAATAATGATTAAAACTCTGAGCAATGTCTTGAATGTTTTTTTTATTTTATCTTTAATATTTAATAAAAGATCTAAAGATATATGATTAAAGAATCCATGACAATTTCGAAGATTTCTTTTCTAAAATAAAAAAATTTACATTAATATTTTAATTGCTCAAACGAACTTTTGAAACGTAACATTCCTGCGTTACAGGTAATCGAACAGGATCCTTACTGGGTGCCATCCACGGAGGAAGAATATCTTCATTTTGGTGAAAAGGCGGACAGCGATAATCGAGCTAAATGCTACATGGATGCGGTTCGTCGAAGAAAAGGTCTTCCTGTGGACTCCCAATTAGTTACGCATGCTGAAAAACAACGCACTCTTTCGAAAAACAAGTGATGCGAAAATTCTAGTTAATGCGAATCTTTTAAAAATTGCGTATACTCCGAGTTTCATCTTTGTCGTAGAAACTGAATAATTTTACGTCCATTAAATCTGTAAAATCAATTCAAATGTATAACCAAGGAACTTTGTTCCTTCTTGCATTATGTTACGAAACAAGATTAAATATTCATTGATTGATCAATGTTTAATTTTGTTAATGACTTAGATTAAACATTAAATTGAATGTCTTCTTTACCTGATCATTTTAAGCATTTTTTAATATTTTTTCGACATCATTTTCAAATATGTTGTTACGACATATTTACGATATATTTTGTATACAGAAGACGTATGTTACGTACGAATAAAATGTATGATGTAATTGCATTTTATTGAACAAAAATACATAAATTATTTAGAAAAGAAGACATAATATATGATGCTATTTACATTAAGTAAATGTATTACACTTGAAGATAAATGTACATATGTATACATTTTTGTTAAAACAATATGACGAATGTATCACAAGTTTGAAAAGCATTTTACAAAAAGTTCTTGATTAAGTAAACTCCTTGTTCCATACAGTAAACTATTTCGACTAATCATCCGTAAATACAATCTTTTTGCCTTGAAATCCTTGACTTATGATTTCCTGTTCTTTTTTCTTAGCCATCCAAGAAGGATGTAAATCAGCATTGTCGTCCTTTTTATTAGCAATCGTATTTTTATTTGTGTTACTATTATTTGTCCTGTTATTAATTTTGTTAGGTGTCATTTTCTTGGATTTCATAGAAAAAGGTTGTTTGTCCGGAAGTTTTTTATTTAAGTTTGTATCGTTTTTGCGATTTGCATTTTGCTTTTTAACTCGATCATTCAATTGAAAAGATTTGGCTCGCGTATTATGTCCGTGAGATTTCGTGTACGACGTCGAGGCGCTGCTTCCTTGATAGTTTTGACCATCGGCTGTCATGAAGAAGTCGTCAACCACCTTTACTTGTTCAGTCGCGGTACCTGTGGAATCCTGGCTTTCGGCAGATGTCTGTGCATCTTGATTAGTTTCTTGTTCCTTCAACAGCTCAGTGAACCTCTTCACCTTTGCTTCTTTCATAATGCTTGATGGTTTAATTATATTTGATTGCTTATCTGTGACTGATGTAGTTTCTGATGTACCATCTTTTTCGAGTTTTAGTAATTTTTGTTTTTCCAAGAGTGTACAATGTTCGTCCGATGTCTTTTTGCGCTTGCGCGAGTTACTCCTTACTTCAGATAATTCCTTCTTACATACTTCCTCGTTTTCGGACTCATGTTGGGTTTCAACGTTTTTGGCAGCGACAACTTTTTGTTTCTTTGAATTCTTATTCTGAGAATTATTCTCTTTAGTTTTTCTAGTTTTCACAGCATTCTTGTCTTTTAATTTTGTAGTCTTCTTCTTCTCTGTTAAATGCTTATAGTCTGGGAATCTTTCCTTAAACTGTGTTAGTCTTTTATTCAGAGTTTTATAATTCGCCACCCTTGCCATTATGCGAACACTATTACTTGATGACTGATCTTGTAATATTTTAATCAGACTTCTCTCATCTACGAGACCAAATTTTGAAATATCGTCGTCTTTAATTGTCTTTAGTACGTAAACCTCATTGATCAACTTGTCAGCTTTCCTTCTAAATTTCTCCTTTTGCGTTTCGTTTCCATGTCTATCCCGTAAGAGTTTAGCTTCCTTGATAAGCTTATTGACTATACAAATCCGTGCTTGACGAACTGCATGTCGCAGAAGGATGAACTGAAAGTATTGTAAAGATCAATGTATATATAAATATTGTATCTCCTTAGCAAAAATGAATGTAAACAGATGACGTGTGCTTCATTCTGATATATCTCACCTCATTATTCATTTCAGATTTTGCCATTTTAGATTAAGAAGAATCTTTCCACTCAGTGAATCATTTAACAATCGTACGGACAGATGCATAAACAAGTTCTCTTATTTTTCTTATAACTTTAGCAATTCTGTAAAAGTGCGTAGAACTTTTTCTTCTGATTTAATAGCACTCGCCGACGAAATAACGGTGATTCTAGCCACAGATTCTGGCCAAGAGTAAAATCAAGCGAAAAGTGCAGAAATGCGTAGAATCTTTCTACAAATCGTAAACAAGTCTGAGAAAATAACGAATATAGATAGTTCGCGATCAACAGCAGAATTCTCTACAGTTAAGGCCTGCGCACAAAGGAACAAATATTAGGAACAGGGCTGCGTTCGGAAACATCATCTGGGTATCCCCCGTGTATCATCTTATCCTTGTTTCACATTGGGTGAACAAGGATAAAACGATACAGGGCACTCGAATGATATTTCCGAAACGCAGCCCAGCAATGGAATTCTGTAAAGCCGGAATCAGACTACGCATTGAAGATTGAGATCGAAGATTGAAGATTGAAATTTGACCAATGAGGGCAAAGGAATTTTAGCTTTTATTGTTTTGATTGGTCAAATTTTAATCTTCAATCTTCAATCTCAATCTTCAATGCGTAGTCTGATTCTAACCTTATAGAATTCCACTGAAAATTACAAAAGTGAAAAAATTTACTAGGTGTTGATCATTGAAATTATTAGTATTCTAGTAAATTCGCTCACTTTTATAATTTTCACCTCGTTTCAAGATACAGAATCGATCCCCTGATTGGTCATTGCAATCACAAGATTAGCAGCCAATCACGAATTAATTTCTGTGTACTAAAAATGGCTGCTTAATAGATAATTGGTGGATTTCTGGTCAGAGAGAAACTTGAGAGGGGTCATGCCGGCCTTTTTCCTGTTACTGTCGAAATCACCCGTATACTACCGCCAGTACCTCCATTTTCAGTTTGGGAACTACGTGACTACATACATTTTCTAACACTATCGATAAAATCGTATTGTCGAAAGTAGATGTAGTTCGTGTTTGTACTAAGAGCGCGGTATTCATAGTCGATTCTTGTATTCAAGATCGTCTTAAGTACAGTCTTAAGATGTCACGAACCAATCAGAAGGCCGTATTAGCATCTTAAGACATTACTTAAGACGATCTTGAAATAAGAACGGATTATGGCCGATATTCATAGGCCGGTATTCATAGTCAGATCTTATATTTAAGACCGTCTCAAGTACAGTCTTAAGAAGTCATGAACCAATCAGAAG